CATATAAGAGTATGCAGTTCTGCATACGCTTCTCAATGAAGCTTGCTGAATTCAGTAATCGCGCACAAATTAGGTGAGAAAGGCAAAAAATAGTCCATCGATATGTAACAACTTACAGGAGAAACTCGATTTCGATCAACATATATATATCGGCGAAAGTGATATCCGGTTCTACCATAGCAACGCAGAAAAGATGGTTTTGGATTGAAGCACCTGTGTCAGCCGATGGTCGATGAAACACAATCACATGGTGCCAAGCATTTACAGTGGACTGTAAAAACCTGTTACATTCGGTCCGCGACCGAATGACCAGTAAAAGTAAATGGCCGAGACCAAATGACCAATAAACGCGAAACGCGCAAGACTTTGAACACCTGCATCTTGCGCATTTCCCAACGAAAACTATCAACCGATATCTCAAACGGGAGAGAACAAAATTTCAAGAATTTTGATACCAAACGTGTCATCCTTTATGAGGTCTAAGAGAAAATCGAGCCATTTTAGTTTGTCGTAGACGAAGCATACGATTTCTGTGTGAGATCACTGAGAACTGGAGACAAACAGTGCATTCAAATCTTATGTTATGTCTACGAGAAACTTTAGGTGGGTGGATTTTCTCTTAGATCTCACTAAGAACAACCTATATGGTATCAAAATTCTTGAAATGTTTTTCTCTTTCTTTTGAGATATCGATTGATGGTTTTCGTTGGGAAATGCGCTAGGAGCAAGTGTTAATATCAACAGGCCGATGGCCAGTTCCGAATTTGCCTGTTAGAGTACAGAAAAGTGCCTGGTTGCGCGCGTTGTAACACCTTTTCGCAGTCCACTGTACAGTCTCCCACAGTCTACAAATTCTTGTTACGCTTACATATCGGCTGCAAAATGCTCAGGATAATCATGTTTTTAAAAATATGGATCCTCCGATTAAGTGCAAGGCAACGGGGTTTTTGGCACCCCAAATAAATACCTATACCGCGGCTATACGAAAAATCATTATTAACCTTCATGATTCTATCTCGCGGCATACGATACTCCGATATTTAATCCCTTAATATACAGTGTCTTGTACAAACAAAATCTTCCTTACTCTTTCGTTTACATATACCGCAGCCGCACAAAAGTGCTCCCGCCATAATGACACACGAGGCCAAAAAGAAACCGTGTGCCAAATCAACGCTCTTCCGTTCTACAAGCGCATTAAGAAGGATCTGCAGGTATCCCATGTCGATTAGCACTGTTAATATTCACATTGTAAAGGCCGTTGTATTCAGCAAAGAAAGGCGTTTGTTGTATTCGCCTAGGCGTTGGTAAACTGATATTATATGTATCTCAAGAAGATTTTCCTAAGTTGCGGGATGATACAACGCTTCGACGACAGAGAACGAAAAATTTGCCGGGCGTCGATCTCTTACAGGTCAAGTCTTTCCATGAAAGGAAACAGTACCAGGAGACACAATACAATTCAATAGCCAACTACCGCTAGGAGAAACATCATCCTAAGGCAAATAAGAATAGAGTGGCCAAATTCACCGACATTAGAGTAGTATTCCGCTGCCAAGACTATCGCATCTCTCTGCATAAAAAAACAAACCGACGATTAAATTTAATCCAGGAAAGAGCGCGAAAAGACCGAAGAGGTTAACAATATTTTGACCACATGGCAAACCTAGATGAAAGGAGTGAATGAATCGACAAGGGAACGAGTGTTGTGCGTTAGGAAGCCAGCAATACGCCATACCTGCACAGCATAACCTACCCGAGTGAAAGAGAAGATCAACAGAACTTCTAACGTAATTAGTGTGCTGGACATGCTCCTGTGTAGGTTTATATCCGTTGCTCGATGGAAGATATCGGCAGCGGAAACTAAACTGGCGCCGAATTGCAGCAGCAAACAAAAAGCCATTGCACAATATGCGATGTAACGCAGTGGCCGGGAACTTTGTTGAATCCGCTGAATGTAAAGCAAAAGTAGCCGCATACATACAAAATGCAAAACCAACATGCATTGTGGATTTTGAGACTTCCAGGTAGGAATGTAGATTTTCCGGCCATTTCAATTTTATCCGTGGAGATTCTTTTCAAAAAAACGATGAGATGATTAAGGGAATTTTGGATGATAACTTAACTGGTTGAGAAAGCTGGGGAATAATAAACCGGCCATTTAATACGAAAGCTTGAGAAGAATGCAGATTTGTTGTTATAACACACCAGACAAATTGTTTACATCTGAAATTTTAATGCCACTACGATATTATGTCTTTGGCAGCATGCATCGGTGACATGGGTGATCGGATCAACAGCGATCGGGTAACTTTAGCAGCTGGGGGTGACAAATTCCAGATACTTTTGCATTTACGTCAGAGTGGTTATATCTTCCTGTTTTAAGAACTTGAGCTGCTCAGTGTCAAATATCAGGCGTCCATGAAATGCAATTATTATCGTGGAGAATATTATAATATGGCTGAGCTTCGTTGTTTGTGATAATGTGACCACACGAATTAATTGTTGCTACGCTTAGCACTTTTAACAATAGTACGACTGCAATTATCAGACACAAGTCACACGACAACTCGAATTAAGCTTGCGCCAACTTAATGATACACAAGGACAAGGTCACCAGTGCTTGTCCGTGAGCTCGCCTAACAACAGCGCGTATCCCGCGATACTGCACGTAACCTGCAATACGCAATAGCTAAACACAACCTGTAGAATAACAGTTTTTTTTGTTGAATTGCATGTACAGAGTATTTTATAAATGTGGCATTTTACCGCAAAAGCTCGCGACCGATCTATAAATATCCCGGCAGAAGTGATCTGAAGTTCCATGGCCGTGATGCGGTTAATATGCTGCTGAATTGAAGGAACAATATCAGTTGGGGGTCTTTGGAAGGCTAGTACATGGTGCCACGCTTCAGCCGCTGCCGCGACCTGAAAATAAACTGACCGTACACACCAAGGAAGTTGGAATTTAGGAGAATGTTTCTTTCAGTGATTTCCTCATACGTCAGAGCTGCAATTACCCTTTCATTAACATATACCACGGCCGTCATCTGCGCCGTCAGCACGAACACATTCGATCCCAAGTACCACCACGAGCTTACACTTGGGCTGCTTTCGTCTGCCAGTTCCTGGAGAAGCGAATCCAGATAACCCATACAAACAAGCAATGTTTCCGTAAAGATCAACACATACAACCAAGAAAGACGCTGGTTATATGCAAGAAGCCGACGAGAAGTTATCAAATGCAAATGGAAGAGCGTTTTAATATTTGCAAAAGAATTTCTTTTATCAAAAGAAAGACACGTGATGCGGTCAAAAATTGCTGACAGATGCAGCCCTTCCATGACAGGAAACACGATCAGCATGCAGAACACGACCTGACAGCCGAATACCGACACAAGGAGGAACGAGTACATGCAGATGATGATTGGCTTGCCATACTGACCGAAGAGATTGTAATATTGGTCGATCATATATGTCGTTTCACTGCTCAGATAGTAAAAATTAATGACAAGATTTCCCCCAGGAAACATCAAAAACACACCCAGGGAAACGGATATTATTTTAAATAAATGAGTTGGTTCGATAAAGGAAGAGAAAGATTCGGTAATAGCCAGTGCCTGACGCGGTAAAAATCCGGCATGCCGCCATAAGTGTACGGCATAGCTAAGTCGTGTCAGCGGAAAGATTAGTAAAACCGGCAGTGATAACAGTGTCCTGGACATACTCTTGCTAAAAGCATCTGGCTGTGGGAATAGATATATATCGTACATTACGTTGGCGCTAAACTGGAGAAACACGAACACTCCCATGGCGCAACGTGTAAGACAACGTAACTGTCGTGAGCGGATGAGAACATTGGTTGGATAACAGAAATAACCGCATGAATGCGCAAGGCACAACCAACATAAGTTATGTATTTTGAGAATATTCTCCAGCGAAACAGACCGGTTAGCCATTTATGTGGACAATAAATTACTGAATTTGCCACTAATAAATTAGGGCATTAATAAAAGGGATGCTAAAAACGCAACCGATACATTGAAAGCTCACAACGCTGCTGTGCGTTCATACAGGTGCAGACGTTTCTGCCGGTATCATATGACCAAGAACTACTTAATCAAATATTTTCTTGCTGCGGAGGGGTGGGATAATTTCTGTTGGTCGTTTCTCCCAGAATGGTATACATTCTCTTTTCCTGTTTATTTTCCTGCTTCCACTTGTTTTGTGATTTCAGCGGTTAATTGTCTGTAAACTTGTGAAAAACATAGCAACGATTTGTACCACTAGTCCTGTAAATTGTGCTGAATGTCGATCGATGCAGCCTGCCATACGAAGAAATATTAGAATCGAAGGTATACTCGCAACCGAGTTTTGTGGTAACTGATCCAGATTGAGCGTGACAATCAGTTATCAGAATAATAATTTTGTTTCTAAATCTGAGTTTGGATGGCTGTATGGTTTACTGTACTGTATGGCTTTCGAATTATGCGTGATCCATATGAAATTCTGACTGCCTCTGCAAAGCCCTTGACGCAGCGGTACGGAAGCTCATTATAAAACTGAAGGTCGCCTATAGGATATATTTAATCTTCCTGGCCGGAATCATGGGTGATAATGCGGAAGCAGAAACGTGTTGCGGTTTTTGAGACCAAACTTGCCAAACAGTGGTCAGCTAGAATTTAACATCGATTAGCACAAAAATTGTACTTTTTACTTGATTCCGATGAATTTTAAAACAAATACAGTATAGCCGCACACCGAAGTGCTTGCCATTTAGTGACAAAAGAGCCTGTCATGCTACAGTAATAGGCAATGCTCCGTAATCATTCGAACACCTTAATTGTATCTCTGTGAAGCTTAATCATATTTTTTATATACATTAATCCACTGGGAAAAGCATAATTAAAATTACTGTGTAGCAATCTGATCTGGCTATTGTACATTATCCATATTTGTTGGCCAGACAAACATCTTTTAGTAAGAACCGCTGTGAGGTGTCATTTACGAAGAATTCTCGGCCGAGCGAATGCAAAAATAACTGGATCAAGGGTCGCCTGTGCCATCTTGAAAATCCGCCCGGTCAAGTACAAAACACGATTATTGGCCAACAGCGTTCCCGACATGAAATAGATGTTGGACACGCTCCAGCAGACCGCTACACTAAAGGTCATGAGTGACAGCAAGAAAAATGACCCACTTGACCTTTTATCCACAATGTGTCTATGTTTGCCGGTTTCTGCGTGAGCAACGGCGAAAGGCAATGGGTCAGTGTCAGAAGAATTTGCCGTTTTTCGCGTCCCAACGGCAATCTTTCGTCGACGGATGACAAAGTACGGATAACTGATGACAATAACGATTTCCGGCAGTGCATAAAACGCCCAGTTATGAAACGGCAGCCAGTAAAATTCCGAAGGCACTACGCGACTATAACTGCACTGCACATTGTCCAAGGCGTCGCTGTACAAAACCGTATCCACCGTGGTGACCGTTACCGCAAAGGCGGTAATCGCTGCCCAGCAGAGAATGCAAATAATTATCGCTGTCCTTTTTGTGTGTTTGGAACGGTACGATAACGGCCACGTTACCGCCCACAGGCGGTTGAGAGCGATGCTCATATGATACAATGGAGACAGTGGGCCGATGGCCACGGCGAAAAAACGCGGAAAAGCGCAAAAGAAGGGGGAGTCCTGTTCGGTTAGGAGACTGTTGATGGCGGCAATGAACGGATTGAAGGTAAACAGGGCGCCGGCGATGTTAGCCAACAAAAGACTGATGATATAAATAGTGAAGGGAGTAAGGAGCTCGCGTAGTTTATAAAAAATGGACAGCAGACTGAGGTTGCCCGTTAAAGTGATAACGGACATGACAACGGTCAACCAGTGCAGCCAGGTGAATTGACTGATGGATGCACGCATGTTCGGTGAGAGAGCGAGCGGGTCGATGCGTGTAAGGTTATGGTCGTGGGAGATGTTGCGATTCATGGTTAATGTCAATATTAGGCGGAGCATTTGAAAGAAAACTGAAGCATGCTGAAGCTGTTATGGCGTTTATATGTGGTTCGGAGTAATTATAAGCAAGAAATTTAGCGCGAAAATTAATCACAGGATGATTCAGAGGAAGAATGAGGCAAAGAATTGCGGATGGGAGGCACTAATTGAACCAGGGTGACGCAATGCTGTCCCACAGTTACCGCACATGATTATCCAGCTTGGCCTAATTGCCATCTATTTTGGTTTCTGCCGGTATTTTCGATAAAGGAGCGGTATTGAACTTTAATGCGATACAATTACAGTTTTCCGCACCTTCCTTGTCGAATTATTTTTCTTTTTGATGTGGTATTTAGCTTGAGGAACTTTGCAACATATACCGTAGAGGCTATCCTAGAGTTATTTTCCCTTTGCATAAAAATTGTGCCTTTGACAGTTATTAGTGCACATTTTTGATTTTGCAACAGTTTTGCTTATATGTTCTATGGTTCAGCAGAGGAGATATCGTTGATGAATTACTATATGAAGGTTCCAAAAGATTGATGCTGTGCCTCTTAATAACAGCTTCCGCATAATCTTGATACTGTACTGCACCGTTCTACAAAAATGTGTTTATGCTTTTTCAAGTGCAACGTAACCGTAGAGGCTGCAATTGTTAAATCTCTTCAAACAGACCTTATTTTTTGTTTGTTACTTGGGCGCTGCGAGTACCGAAACAGAAAAACTGGAAAATTGCAACGGTAGCCGTTTGACTGAGTTATTTTGCTAATTATGTAGCATACTGAAACACGGAAACTCTGTAGGCTAAAGAAAGTCATAACTGTCACGTATTAGGTGCCTGGACACTCTACTTATCGAAGTGCGGCAATTGTGTGGATTCTGGAGGGTCGACGACTGAATGAAATAGGAACTAGAAGTGAGGACAAAAATTGCGGCATCATGCGGGATGACACCACTGGGCTCGAGGCAACTCTTGGAGGCACAGATCAGGTAATCAGCATAGTGTAATTAGTCGGTTGTTATTGTCGCATGCCCTTTATTAAACCCGGTTGACTCGACTTTGATAGTCGCCTGCGCAAATGAACCGACACAGACCTATAAAGACTAACCGGTCAGCTGATTATTACGTCAGAGATGTGTGCTTTGATCGGTACCCAGTATCACCATCTTTCAATATGCAACTGACGTTAGAGCAAATGCATGGTGTTCTGCCAGACTGCCACCAGTACTGTACAGATAGGTTCCGAAATTGCTTTTTATCAAAGTATGTAATTTAGCCTGTAACATCATCATTATTATTATTATGATTATTATTATCGAATAACAAGCAGGTAACAAGCAGTTACATCAATGTACAGTATGTAACTGTCTTAATAAAGTAACATTATCTCTCACTACGAAGTCGTAGCTGCATTTTGCAACTAATATAATCGTTTTGATGCATTAATAGAGGGAATCCAAATGTCCGAACTGCACCGATAGCCTTCGCAACAATGGGCCCATGAAGACGGTCATCTATCGCCATTATAAATGAGCTGGGTAAACGATTACAACAACGAGCGAACCCCGTTATCATGAATTTTTGCGTTAGAGAATATCACTGGAGATACGGTACAACGCGGGGAAACGCAGCATCACTGATGGGAACAAAAGAAAAGAGCAGAAAATTTTATTGAAGTTTTAATGTTGTATTGTAAAAATTGGGATATTCTGGATTTATGTATAATGCGTTGTACCACAGCTGAATAAAAAGAATGTCGGAATTCTGAATTTAGCTGACATATGACAATAACCGTTTTACCAAAATACATATATGCATTAAAATTCAAAATGTCGAACGGATATAGTTAATACGCATGCAAAGTGCACTCCGATCCATTTATTTACACTTAATACAATATTTCGAATAATAGATAAAATTTTTCAGTTTGATCGTTATAGGTTTTTGCGACAATGTTGTAGCGCCATGATCCCGTTCCAGAGGCAACAATCGTCAAAGTCAGAATATCGACAGTACATGCCTGATGCTTCTACCTTCTCGTCTGGTTGGCATATTCAGTTGGGTTTTCGAATAGCCGTTTTGCTGTGCAAACATGAGAATGTATCCGAAAACGGCGGAACAATCGGCAAACTGAAGAGTTTTTACAGTCACAAATAATTTCATTGATTTCATTGATTATTAAAAGAAAAACATGTGATGCAGCGACATATTGTTGACATTTGCAGTTTTCCATTGCAAGGAAAGCGAGCAGTGCGCAGAAAGCGACTGGACATTCGAGTACTGACACCAGAAGACAGGAAGAACGAGAACAGATACATGCAGACGGACATTGGTTTGTCATACTTCCCGAATAGATTGCATTGTACGAGTAATATTAATCGATCGTAATTATGTCGTTCCGTTGTTTAAAATTCCAACAACCAAGCGATATCCAATTTTATTATAGTAAAAGTTATTTCAACTTTCATCAGAAACACCAAAAAGATACTCAATGAAAAGGATACTATGTTACACAATTAACTGTTATGACGTTATAATACTATGTTACGCAGTTAGGTACTCTACTGTGACGCATGGCAACGTGTGCCAGTGTCGCACTACTGGCCTATGTTGTAAATGGAGTATCACTGAGTGTCCCTGTGTTTTTGTATTAATTTTAGTAATTCAGTTGCAATTTATCAAAGAGCACGACGCTCACGTCGTGAAGGTACCGAGACAAAGGAAGAGAAAGATAAGCCCATGACCAAAGCGTGGCGCGGCAAGAAACCGGCGTTCCGTCATTAACGTTCGGCATAGCTGTGCAAATCATGTCCCCGGAAAGATTAATAAAACCGGCAACAATAACGGCGTTCTACGATTCGACGGCTATGACCATTACTGCGAGAGCGAAAATCGCTGACCAGTAGAGAATGCAGGGTATAAACGCTTGTTCTTTTGAGTGGTTTGCCCGCCACGATAACGGCCACGTCACCACCCAGATCCCAGAGTCGGAGGGCGATGGTTATGTGGCAGTAATCTGTAAACTAGGTATTCGCCAATCGACCCCGGGGGTTATGGCGGTAACGATCGGATTGAAGCTGAATGGTGTGCCGGCGATATTTGCCAAGAAGGCCGATGACATAGGTGTTGAATAAAGTAAAGAATTCGCGAAATTTCTAAAATTCTAAAGGTAACTGCCGTTGTCAGTTAAACCGATGACGGACACGGCGTCGAACCACTGCAACAAGGTGAACCGACTGATGGATGAAATCACGAAAGCCTGTTTGGGGAGAGGGCGAGCGGGTCGATGTGTAAGGTTATGATTACTGGAAACTTCGTGATACACGGATACCGTCAACAAGCTTATCGCGAAACGTTAGAAAGACAAGCAGATTAAGGATTAAAGAAGGGTGCTGACACACGAAATGAATTAGAGAATCCTTTCCGCTAGAACAATTAGTTACACGGTGATCTAGAGTTACACAGATTCATGGAATCTGCAAGCTTAAAATAATTACACCAGGTGATACCATATGATGGATCATTTTTAGCCAACTTCTGCGTATGACAGCTGGCGTGCCCTAACCGATCTAATAACTGTGTGATTTCTTTCTCCCGGTGTTTCTGGAAACGGGCCGGTTTGCAATACCGCATTTTCGTCGTTGTGCCAGCATAAGGACCAGTAGCTGTACCTTCGTTCAATATATCTGTAAACGGCTGGTTGTCGCATAAAATGTTTTAGCGCAGGCGGTCTTTAATTGCAATTTAACGAATTAAAAAAAACGCAAGTAAAATGAACTTAAATAATGTATCAACTCCGGCCCATAATCATATTAGTTTTTGTGGCCTGATTGTTATTGGTTAGCATTGTAGCAGCGTAATCGACAGGAGGTCTCGAAAAGACCACAATGTCCGCATGTCGACTACATACAGCACGTATCTCCCTACAAATACAAACTAATATCGTGTTCTACAGTCGTGTGTGGTTTGTGCAGTCATTCAGTTGTGTCGGGTGGTCATTTAGTTGTGCAAAGAGAAGAATGTATCCAAAAATCGTGGAAACAATCTGCAACAAATGCGGCAACATTAAGTTAATCTTTCGTGTAACTTCATTTCCTATTTAAATGTTTCTGTGAGGGTACAAACTCAATAATCGAAATTGATAAAAATTAAAGCTGCCTGGATGCCGTGCTTTTCGGCTGGCGGTTGAGGTTCTGAACGACAGTTCGCATCGGAACCGCATCCGGGCAGCCTCGGCTTGTGACTGCCGCCTTCTGTATCACTCAACCAACGTCCCGGTTCGTTGCAGCACGATCGGATGCTTAGAATTATCGATCCCATCGAACACTCGTCATTGTAATTTTCTTCTGATGCCCTGTTACGCTGATTGCGCCCTGCTTGGGCATATTCACTGGCAGTATGAAGTATGCAATTTTGCTGCAATTTTGTTTAATTGTGAGCTTCGCTTCGATTCGCTCGAAAATTACTGATGCCCTTGAAGCCATCATTTTGATATCGCTGTACTGAAGTCTCTTCAACTCTCCTTTCCAAATCACAGGCCGTTTGCACTTCTACACAACCACCAGAAAAGTCCCCTCACTTTTTTGCTATAACCGCATAATGCCGGTACTTTCGTAAGGCATTTAGACATTAAATTTTACAAATGGTACCCCGTGAAAATGACGCGGTAATCGAAAGAGAACAAACCCCTACCGTAGCAATTGCTGTACGATCCACAGGTATTCCGGCTAGAGTCATCACCGGATTCATTGCGTCCATGAGTTCAAGGTGAAGCTCAAGAGCAGCCTTGACTGCCGGCACGTGTTGGCGAAAAGCCAGTATCCAGTATAGGATCTTTTTGTTTCGCGATAACTGACAAAATACTTACCATTTATGTTTGCTTTTGCCGGCTATTGCTCAATAAAGAATATGATACGAAGCGGTGTAGACTGTTGGCTCTAGAACTGATGACTCCGATTGATTTATTTACAGTAATTATTCCCACCTTCTCGCT